CTAACGGCATAAATTGTAGAAATGTAGTGGAGTAGAAAGTACAGATAATTGCCGCAAAATGTAATGGAGTAAAATAAAAAGTATGCATTATTATTTTTACTTAAGTAAAGTACAGATACGTAAAAATGTACTTAAGTACAGTAACAAAGTACAAATAATCGTTCGTTCCTCACTGCCAATAACATTGCTTGGTTGTCTAAAACACACGATACAGCAGAATAGAGGTGCAAAAAGACCAAAAAAGGCCATCCGCGTCGTCTCCAGTGATACTGGATCGACCGCACACCAAATAGCACATCCAACGTCAGTACATGACAACATCAAGGAGTTACATTTTCACACAAATGAGCCGTTTTCTCATCAGTGCCTATAAATAAATTAATGCTTCTAAACTGCAGAATATAGAATTTAATTACTTAATGTATGACAAGCAGCTAAATCATCAAATCTTGCAGTAAAACTGAAGTTAATTTATTCATCTCTTCAGCTGAGACCCACCTCAGGTAGGAGTGGCCCAAGGACCTACAGAACTCCTGCAGAGCTTCAGCCTTCTGTCCTGCCATGGTGGAGGCAAAGCCAGGGAGGAAGACCACGCCTGGGCTCTTCCCTTTCACCTTCTGATAGGCCAGCTTGGGCAGGTCTGGTCGGCTCACATACTGTATGGAGGATTTGCACCTGATTCCTTTCATTCAGATGCAAAATAGAATTTGTAAAAACCAAGAAAACAAAATTAAATCAAATGATTTGTTGTAAATATCACTATAAATCAAAGCGCACGTGTGCCAACATTTCAGCAAAAAATTGTTTCTTAAATTAACAAAGCGTTCCATTTTGTCCAGTCAGGAAGATGAGTTTGTCTGTGTAAGGAAATAAGCACTGTACCCTTCTGAATGGTTTGCATTCTTCCATGAAGCTCTAGGGACAATGTGTGCCTCTAATCAGAGGTTGCTGGTTCAAATGCCAGGATCAGCACAGAGATTTCATTGGTGCAAGAAAAGGATGAATTTCTAGGCTGCATTTGAAGGGGTCTACGAAATGGGACAGCTTTGTGTCACTGTGACGCATTCAAACTTCGATTGCAGCCTTGAAAGACACAGCCCCTGAATTCAGTTGCTCCATTAACTTAAGTGAAAGAGAATGTCATTGTTGACACCACAGCACACAACAAAACACACCCCCTGCATTTAACCCCATTTGTGACGTTGCAGTGGGCAACTATTATTTTAGCACCTGGGGAGCAGTGCTTGGGGACGGTACCTTTCGCAGGGTACCTCAGTGGTACCTCGCTGGTCGGGGATTCGAAGCAGCAATCTCCCAATCACAAGCACACTTCTCTAACCATTAGGCCTCCCATGTACCTCGCTTTGGACAAAATTGTCTGCTAAATAAATGAATGCGGCTGGACAGGTGAATATTTAAACAGTTCTTTAGAAGTGCAATCATTAAGACTGGCCGCACTAAGAACAATAACTGAACAGCAATGCTAATATCACTCAAGGAACGTGGTTAGGTATAACCTGTTATTAATCCGTTTTTAAGTAACCAAGCAGTAATTCTGGGGTAAGGTCAACTTCACGTACAAGAAAAATCAAAGCTGCGTGTAATACCCCTGTGTGTGCAATACATCCTAATCTGTAAAGGCGCCACGCCGCCCTGAGCCAGCGTACATTTATCTTTTCAAAATTACATTACATCACCAATAACATGCATAATGTCTGCGCATAGGAACTTTTGCTCGTTTAATAATATAAATGCATAATACGCCACACTGGGAGAGGCGCTTGCCACAGTGCAGCTGCGAAGGCCTGAGCCATAGACTCAGTCACTACAGTAACATTTTAACACCATGCAGGTACAGTGATACTGTTAAGAACACAAAACACACGCTGACCTCCGGACGACTGAGCCAAAAACAAAGCGACCTTTCGTCTGACTGCAGACCAGCCGCGCCACCGAACCACCAAGGCAGCCATGCTGTTTCCAAAACACGCGAGAGTAGGATGTCATGCCTCATCATCACGGAGGGGTGGCTCCGCCCCTTTGCGAGACGCTGGAACCAGCGTGACCATGCGCACCGTGAATGTAGTCAATATGCATAGCGAACGAGCCATTTGGTGAGTTCTGTTACACGCAGTCCAAATGATCAGTGTTAAACGTGGTATTAGTGTGTGTTTGAATGTAAGCGAGAACACATTAAATATTTAAGAATTTTCATGTCATTTGAGCAGCTTTACAATGGGACATCTGTCTCACAAGAAATATCGTAGTATGAGGGTTTCCAGAGAAAACAAAGGTGATGTGGATCATGGGTATAAGCAAACACAGAATCTCGCGTTTTTAAGTTAATTTTGACGTGGAGTCAGATCCATTATCCGTCTGTCTGTATGGTAATGAGCCTATGATCGCAATAAGACGCGATGTTACTGAGCAATATTGTTCTATGGGACCGGGGGTGAATCACTAAGCATATTCCATCCCCATCCCAACTCCACCCCGAGTGCCTTCCTCCGGAGTAACAAGTGCGCTGAGACTCCCGCCCCGCTGCACTTTGTTCACTCTACATGTTAATATTACAAACTTTAGACTCTGCTTCCAGGTGACACACAGTTCGGTATTCTGGTAAATCTATCCCCAACGGTCCTATATTTTAAGGCAGATTATTTGGTTGCTAGTTGCAGCCTGTTATTTCAAGAGTGCTCTCCAGGTTAGCGTGAAGCTAGCCGCTTAACTTGTTTGAAATGCAGTCTCCACGCTTTCTTAAGAGACGCCGAACCTTTGGACATCACCGCAGTCTTATTAACTAACCACTGGCAGCAAAGGTCCACCGTTTGTAATTTCGAAATCTCAGCGTTAAGTATTATGGAAAAGGTATGTGTATGCTGGTTTTATCTTGTGTTTTTAATTGGGAGATAAAGTAATTAGTTGCGCTATTTATAACATGAGGTGTATACAACAAAATATTTAAAAGGTTATCAATTAAATTTTCAGTTAGTCGTTATGGTACATCAGAAGTGATACCAAAGTAATGATATAATCATGTTTCGGTAACTATTAAATTCCTAGTCCTAGCGAAGTCATCGCTTGATGTTACATTAACTGGTTTTTAGTGTTGTTATAGTGATGTTTGTTGTCTCCGAATGAAATCGCTTACATTACAATGGCTGATTTTTTTTAGCGTTTTACGGTGATAGAAGTTAGTTCCTAATGAAATCATTTTGTTTGTTATTGCAGTAACTGATTTTTAGTGTTGTTAAAGCGACCCGAATGTCTCAGAACAGGGTGTTACGGTTGTAGTGATGGGGGTTGGACATTGCTTGGTATTGCGGTAACTGATTTGTTTTCGTTTTGAAAGCTAACTATATTTCTTGCTTGTTTTACTGCTAGGTATTGTCATAAACTACACAAAACTGGTCTTAGAAACTATGGGGTGGTTGGGAGAGCATAGCTGATTGGTCATAGAATGAACACACCTTTCAAGACAAATGGGAATAACACCACAATGGAGAAACGTGGTGGACGGTTTTACATAATATGCTGAATGTATGCTGTTTAAGTCGGTGCCAAAAGCATCCTAAAATTGCCTGGCGCAGGATAACACTAACATGTCCATTATGTAAACGAGCCATATCAACTTCTGACCACTTATCTTGGGCAGGATCGCAGGGGGTTTGCAGCCTTTCCGAGGTAACATGGTACTTAGCAGCGGTGCACCTTGGATTGGATACTAGTCTATCACAGGGCCACACATGCGCGAAGTCATATATAATACTGCCAATACAGAGACACCAGTTAGCCTGACTACATCATTGTGTTGTGGGAGGAGATATGTGCCACACAATGAGAACACTCATATTGTATTACATAATTAAAATAGCCTAATTAAAAGATATAATTAAAAGCATTGTTTGGATGACTTATTTATTTATTTTTTGGAAAATAAAGTTTCCTAACAACCTAACAATGCAGGTAAGTATCTCTGGGACATGCTTCTTGGCCATAAGGGTCGGGTTCAGCATGAACAAAGTTCATCAGTGCTCTGACGGCTCTGCATGCCTGTTCCTCTTCCCCAGTGAATAGGATTCCTGCTGGTTTCTGTCTCTGAGTAGCTTTTATGGATTTTTCCAGCAGATGTGCTTGCCTGGTCCTTGTAAAGGGTGGTGTTACACTGCTTTTCCCAAAAGGTCGTTACCTCACACCCCGCACTCTGAACTCTTTCTGGGCAGTAATTTAAACTCCATAGCAGAGAGCAGATCTCCAATCTCAAGTAGGAGACAGATACAGCAAGTCACCAGCCAACCACAGAGCAGTTAGTCCAGCCGTATAGCTGTGCCCTCTGATTGTAGGATATTTAAACTGATTGCAGTTCTGACCCACTCAGTCTGGGCCCCATTCAGAGAGTTAAGCCCTAGTAATCAGATTAGGACCAGCAGAAAGGCCTCACACTGTTTAGGGTTAATACAAGCGTGACAGATGTTGATAAAGACAGACGTACAACAGCAGCAGCAGGCTAAAGATGACAGGCTGGGCTAACATAATGGGTCTTCAGTAGGGATGTAAAAAGTGAGGCTGACCCTTATGTTGGATGGCTAGTGATTCCATAGACAGGGACACCTACAGATGATCAGTTTTTTGTGTCTTTAATTTGTCCCAAGAATTGCAAGAAGACCTATGTCCTGAGATCTTTTAGAATGTTCCAGATTTTATACATCAGTCTGTTTACTTAGATTTTTAATGACCTTCAAAGTCAAAAGGGGAATTTTAAACTCTTCCCTGAACTTGACAGAAACCCTGTGAAGAGATGTTCATGTGATTGTTTTTTCTTCTTCTGGTTACAAGTACAGCTGACATGATTACTTGATTAAACTCAATTACTCAGTTATTAAAAAGCAAATTTACTTCTCAGTCACTCGCCAATATGGCGGAAGGAAGATGGCACATAGTGGATGAGGGTCCAAATATACAACGAAAGCATCAGTTGTGTAAAAGCACTTCACATGAAAGTGAATGAAAATGCAGAACTTAAAGATCACCACAGCATGACTGAAATGTGAATTCATCTTAAAAGAAGACATTCAGGTTTGACAGATTCACCCAATAATGCAAGATTAGCCATAGATGTGCCGTTTAGCCTCTTGGAGAAGGCTAACCTGTCTTTGTCATCATTCTGACTTAAATTGTTTTGCTTAATTTGCTTTCTGTGTACCTAAACATAATTGCTGCTGAAATGAAAATTAGCCTTGTTGCTGAGCTGCATCATAATCGATACTTTATTCCCCATGGGGAAAATTCTCTTTACATCTCCCTCAAGTTGCTCTTGGTAGGTGAGAGCAAGCTGGCCATGAAAGGCCATAGCAGCACCAAGGGACCTGAGGGTTAGGGGCCTTGCTGAAGGACCCACAGATGTACTGAGGTCTGGTTTGAACCAGCAACCTTCCAATCATAGGCACAGACTGAGCCACTGAGCCACATGCTGTTGTCATGTGTCATACGCTACATGTACCTGTGTTTTGAGTAGGGATGATCAAAAAAACTTTACATTATGATATTTAGGAGATGAAAATTAACTATATTGCCAAATAGAACTTAGCTACCAACAGAGTCTGTCAGATAAGTTGGTGGTGTTGTTATCAGTTGTGCCAACTGACACAACATGGTGCCGGCAAATCACTTGCTTTTTCTCAATATTGTCTCTATGGAATACAAAATATTTCAATACAGTAGAAGATGAATACCTTTTCGCGATCAGTTCTTGTTCATTGTCTCTGAGAATGCACGCTGAGCTCATGTAAAGCAGTGGTTGGTAAACTTTTTTTCGTTTTTTTTTTTTTTAAAAACTACATACTAGATAAAATTGCAAAGCTTGCTAAGTTTTGTTTCCTATGACCGAGTAAAAATATTTTGATGCAGCTTATTGATGGTTTAAACTTTGAGGCTGTCACAGTTTTCACAGTTGCATGTGCATGAAATGCCATATAAATTTTACTGTCATACATCATGACTTTGCAAGCTTAGCAGGGCAGCACAGTGACGCGGTGGGTAGTGCTGTCGCTGTGCACCACCTCTTGGCATATTATTTGTTCAATACATATACTGTACAATCTCCATATGAATAATTACTATGTAATAACCTAATAAAAATTCAATAATAAAAAAACCCATATTTCAAAATTAATAAATTTTTTACTAAAGCTAGATCATAAAGTCATGAACATCTCCAGAAAATTTGGTCTTTGGTTTTCAAGGAATTATATGTATTATAGATATCTTGACGTAAATGTAGCATTGCATGGTTTCATATCACTAATGGGCCTTTTTAATGGCAGCCAAACTGACATAAAATAGTATAACAAGCACATGTGTACGTAATAACATTAATTAAGGTTACAAATATGCTACAATGAAATTTAATGGAAGCTTCATTAATTTAATTCAACATACCTGTACTTGCCATACTATTGAAAAGGTCCACATGGCTAGTAAATATGGCTAATAAATGCCTGCATTCATCAGAGGTGAGTGAGGTGTGTAAATCGGTCCAGTGTAAGTGCACACTTAGGGAATCACTCGACTTTGCAAGCATCGAAGGTTATGTCATGGCTGCATATGATGATAATTGGTGGCTAGGATGTGTTGAAGAAACTATGCCCAGCACTGGAGAGTTGAGACTGAGCTTCAGAAAATTTGGTCTTTGGTTTTTGAGTTGTTGCTGAGATATCATTACTTATCTGAAGTGTGTATCAAAACCACAATTCCTATCCACCCATAATATAATTTAATAATTACATTTTGCACGATTGCCTGATGAAGTGAAAAACTAATCATTAGATTACTCGATTATTGAAAATCGATACTGATAACCCTACTTACAAGACTTGCTGCAGAGCAACAGATATTACAGCACAGCATCAAATTCAGACTGAAGCACTTTATTGACACTGTGTTACAAAACAAAATTATATTTATGACCACCCCCAGGGTGCATTAATAAATGAAAAATGAATACAAAACAGAAGATAAAAATAATATAATCGTACAAATACATTGAAATGGACCTTCTATAGATTAAAAAAAAACATTATTAATGCCCAGTGCACAGTGGCAACAGTTATTATTGCACATTAGCAAGAAGTGTATTGCACATTACCAACATAACTTATTGTATATATTCAGTGCCATTATCTCAGGCTGAGGGAATTCAGAGTTCAGCAGGTTGGTGGCTGTTGGGAAAAGCTATTTTTTAGTCTGTCTGTATGTGTACAGATTGATCTAAAGCACCTTCCTGATGGGAGGAGCTTGAACAAAACAAGTCCAGGATGATTGATGTCCTTAATTATGTTTTTAGCCATTTTCACACAGCGAGTCTTGTGTAGATGGTCCAGCGGTGGCAGTTCTGTGTTGACAATGGCTTGTGCTGTTTTTATGACTCGCTGCCGGGGTTTTTTAGCAGCTTTGGTGCAGCTGCTCCACCATGCTGTCATGCAGTTAGTCGAAATGCTCTCTATAGTGTGTCTGTAAAAGTTAACCAGCAGCTTCTGGGGAAGGCTAGCCCTCCTTAGCCTCTTCAAAAAGTAGAGGCCTAGTTGCGCTTTGCCTTCTACCACTGAGGTGTTGTCAGCCCAGGACATAATGCTGATACCTATGTACCGGAAACTGCCCACTCTCTCCACTGGGGCCCAGTTGATTATGACCGGATGGTAGCTCCTCTCCTGCTTTGTGCTGAAGTGCCCATTTAACTTCTTAGTCTCGCTGACATTCAGGAGGAAATTGTTCTTCTGGCATCAGTTCTCCAGGGCCTTAATTCCCTCCAGCAGGCCTTCTCCTCATTGTCAGAGATTAGGCCCACAACAGTGTTGTCAGCAAACTTGACCATGGTGGTAGAGTTGGAAGTGGCCACACAGTCATAGGTGTACAGTGAGTACAGCAGGGTGCTCAATACACAACCCTGGGGAGCTCCAGTGCTGAGGGTGAGAGAGGATGGAGACATGTCTGCCCACCCATACAGCTCATGGTGGTCTTTAGGTCAGGAAGTTGTAGATTCTCTGGCACAGTAATGGGCTGAGACCCAGATCCTCCAACTTCTTAGTGAGTTTTGAGGGAATTATGGTATTAAATGCTGAGTTGTAGTCAACAAACATCATTTTCGCATAAATTCCCTTCCTGATATCCAGATGACTCAGGAGAGGAGGAAATATGTTATGACATCATTGGTGGAGCAATTATGACAGTATGCAAATTGTAGTGAGTCCAGGGTTGTCAGTAGTGTCAGTAGTGCAGGCATGCAATGTTCATGTAGTGTAAACTAAATACAGAAAACGAAAATCAAATACAAAACAAAACCATAACAAAACAAATGTGCAACAGACGCCTAAACACGAGCCCCATTTTCCCCAAAACCTAGCCATTTTAAAAGTTAACAAATCAGCTACAGCCTTAACAAGCATCAGGTGTAACTGGCTCGCAGATACTCGGAGTCATGACAATGAAAATTGCCAACACTAAATAACCATTAGACCACAACCCACACTTAAGGTCGTCACAGGGTTTGAATATCTTTGTGAATGCTGGTGTTAGCTGGTCAGCACAGGCTTTAAGGACTACCTGAGATGCCATTGGGTCCTGCTGCTTTCCTGGTGTCCACTCTCTGGAAAGCCCTCCTCATGTCATGATCCGTAATGGTGACAGTGCTTTCCACTCTGACATTTCCTGATTGACAATAGTCCTGCCAGTCCTATTAGTGCTGCTAGTGTTATTAGCACCGTGGGCTGCAGCCTCAAAGTGAACGTAGAAAGTGTTTAGCTCTTCTGCCAGAGACGCATCTACCTTCCCCATTCTGGAGGGTTATGGTCTGTTATCGTTCTCAGTCCCTGTGATTGATCGGATGTCTTGCCACCTCTGCAGTGAGTTCAAGTCACAATCAAAGTCCTCCTCAATCAGCTGTTTGTACTTTCATTTTGCAGACCTGATGCCTCTCTGGCGGCTCTATAGGCTGGGATATCTCCTGATTTAAATGCTGTGTCCCTTGCCCTGGGCAGCTGTTTGAGTTCATTATTTATCCATGGTTTCAAGGTCATTTGGGTACACTCTGATCCTGTTGTTGACAACTATGTTACGCACAAAGTAATTAAAATATGAATTATATGTATCTAAATTGGTCTGATGGAAAAATATATTCCACTCTGTGTGTTTGAAGCAGTGCTGGAGGTGGCAGCCTCAGGCCTAACTTTGATAGTCCTGCTAGTTGGTAAAATGTGAGAAGTATATTCTTAAGATTCGCTTCATTGAAACCCCCGGCAATGAGGTACCATCAGGGTAGAGCTGGGCGATATGGCCTAAAAATAAAATCTCTGATTTTTTCACAAAAAATCCGATTTCCGATTTTAATCGATTTTCCCCTCCCCTACTCAAAATCAAACTACAGATTACAAAAATGGTTCAAAACAAGTTTTAACTTTATTTAGCTTTTTTTACTTTAGGGTTAAAGTGCAATCTGACAAGCCATAAAAGATGCTTGTAAGTGAGATGGCAGACCACGCCATTGTAAACACTTTTAGAAACTTGTAAAAACTTTTAGAAAGCTTTCTCTATAGCTTATTTTCAAACTGGCAACAACACAATATGCCCTCAAACTTATAAATAAAAGTAATAAGTAATATTGTAATAATAATAGAAGAAAAAAAACAAAATTTTATCATGTCAGCTTGGTATTAAGTAAATACTTTATGCCATTGGGCTTGACATAGTGCAAAAGAAAGCTTTTGAAAAATTGTTAAGAAAAATGAGCCACGTACGGGTCTAAAACTTTTAGCATGTTAATGAATCCCAGCTTTTCCACAGTATGTATGGGCACCTTGTGTTTTGCACTATACATCGCGGCAGCGTTTGCTATCGCCTTCCATCGTGCCCGATTCTTATCATACGGCACATAGTTCGAAAATGTGTCAGGGACGGTTGCTTGCTTAACTTTGTTGTGCTGGTGCTGCGGCTATTTTCATTTCGCTGGGAGTGGCACTTCTCCCACTCAGCTGCGTGCCTCTGCTTTACATGCTGGAATAAATTAGTCGCGCTGCTTCCTTTGGTTGCAACAGTTTTTAAAGTCTTTGCAATGAGGACTTGTTTGGTCTGTGTCCGACCTCGCAAAACCGAACCAATTCCATATTACAGATGTAGCAACACCTTTCTTGGGCACAAGCGCCAGCTTTTCCCCTGTCATTGCCATGTTGTTAGTGAATCTGCTACAGTGTTTGGGTGCGCCACGCTAATTTACCCATGAAGATTGGTGCGTCGCATTAGTTCTGCTTTTGGCGCTCGTGTGTAAAAAAAAAGTAATAAAATCGATTTTCATGAAAACACATCGTCCTGAACTGTAAATTCGAATTAATCGATTAAATCGATTTATCGCCCAGCTCTACATCAGGGTATGAGTTACTGATAGCTGCTTGAGCGCTAGCTTAATATTAGCTTGTGGCGGGATGTATACAACAATATATAACAATAACAAGTGAGAGTTCTCTGGGAGGTAGAATGGTCGGCATCTTAGCATGAGATATTCCAAGTCTGAGGAACATAACTTGTTGATTGTGGTTGTACTGCTGCACCAAGCATTACTAATGGAGAAACAGAGTCCTCCTCCTGTTTTCTTACCAGAGTCGGGTGTTCTGTCGGCGCAGTGTGTCATGCATCTTACTAGCTCAACTGCAGTATCCGGTATGATGGGATTCATCCATGTCATCAATAGTCTCTTATTAGATTTATGCGTAGCAATACCCAGTTGGAGCTCATCCATTTTGTTGATGGGTGATCTAGTGCTCACAAGAAGAGCACTAGGAAAAGGGGTTTTACGGGGAGCAGCTTTTAGTCTAGCTAGCAAACCCGCTCGTTTGTCCCTCTTCAACTCCTCTCCCGGTGCCGCCTGCGTTATCTCCCTCTGGGGTAGGAGTCAGCGTAAGTCCTAGTGATCTGACAGTCTTCTGCAGTATTGCTTCCGAGTTATAATACTGATCTGTACAGTTTCAGCTGATCTGTAAAAGCTTCTGCCGACTACAGTAAATGTTCACCTTTGTTTGTTGTAAGGAACACCTATTGGGGGAGCAGGAAGACATTGCATCCATGCACGCCACCATCTTTGTAGAAAGCACAGCAGATGTACCTGACTGTGTTGGTAACACATCAGTGGTTTGCTCTTCCTGATAGTAATCTAATCTGCTATAGAAATATGTGCATTTCTTATATAAGGAATCTTAGTTTTACAATATTTCTCCATAAATTCTGAATGCAAAGCATGTAAATATGTAAAGATGTGGACTGTTTGAACTGTTCATATTGAACAGTATTTACATAAAAGCAGTATTTGTGAGTGTTGACCAGTGTCTGAATGTGTCTCTGTGTTTAGTTTGTGCTAGTTTTATGTACCCTATTGATCAGTTTGAATGGGTTTTGTGAAATGTGTTTGTGTATTTGATTATGGCTTCAATAGACAGTTTTGATACCTTTGTTAAGTTTACCCGTAAATCGATAGCAAATGTACCAAGGTTGTAATATACTTTACTCTGGTTGCTTAGTCTGTTTTATAATGTAGCCTCTTTCTGGACCTTTAAGCCAGCTAAGAATGTAAGCAGAGCTGGTGGTCATGGATGCTCAACTTTAAGCTCTGTTATGCTCTGTGATCAGGCATCATCAACGTAAAGGGGTGGAGCCTCTGTGGGAAAAGGGTAGGGCTTCTGAGGTAAAAGGTGAAGGTGGAACCCAAGTCATATGGATCTGAATGTGTATGTATGTGTAGCCTGATATAGGGAGGTATGTGGAAATACTCTGGCCATGAGGAAAAGCACCAATTACTTAAATTAATCACACTGGATTACGGTGTTCATTGCTCAGTCATGCCTAAAAGCAGACTAAGAATATGTTTGAAAATCTGCATGAAATCTACAAGAAAAAAGAAAGCATAGCAGAGACTGTGTTGGTCACACTGCATAATCCATAATTTTCCTAATGAATTTCATTGTGCTCGTGTTTCCCTATCATAGGCTTTGGAGGCCCGAGATTCTTTACCCCGTAAAACTCCGCCCACCTGTGGAATCTCCCCTTCCAGTGACCGTCTGTCTGCCACCTGTCTGCCATCAGCATTTGCCAAGGCACAACAGTCCTTTCAGTGTGAACAGGCTGAGAACAGGAGCTCGGAAGCAGAAGGAGAGAGGCAGGTGTATGGAAATGGCCACGTTGGAGAATTCAGGCTTAGTGGCCTAAGCGGGCAGTCATGGGTCGATTCCACCAGCCCCTCCAAAGTCACATGCTGCACTCCGTCCGCCACACACAGGCAAAGCAGCCCACAGAAGTTGCCACTCCGGGGTTCTGCGGCCTGGCCAGCTCTCTCTGCCCTGCGAGGCATGGGCTCCTTCAGGAAGCTGCGCTCCTCCATTCTTCAGGGCATTCAGAGCCGAGGAGAGACTGCAGCTCTCAACAAGAGCCAAAAACACACCATGGCAGCAAATCGGAGCCAGAGCAATGTCGTGGTGCTTGAAGGCAGTGAAATGGAAACCAGTGTACTGAATCACGAGCAAAAGCTAAGAACCAGTTGGCAGAATGAGGAGGCATGCAGCTATGATGATGAGGATGAGGAAGAGGAGGAACACATTCTGCAAAGGAACACACTCTGTTCTCATAGTTTGCGCATAGCCTTAAGTGCTGGATTCATGGCACAGCTGAGCATTGGGCGGGAGTCTCGTGGGCCGGAGTCCCGTGGGCCAGAGTCCCGTGGAACAGGTCAGCAGAGGGAGTCCCAGCCAGGCCAGCCTGAGAAGGCCAAGCATCAGGCCATGTTTCACAGACTGAGCAGAAGCACAGACAGCCTGCACCTCTTCAGCAATCCCTTCCGACATAGCAGTGCTGCTCCTGAGGATGGAGGCTTGCAGAATATCCACAGAGCCACCAGCAGCACATCAGTGGAGCTGGCAGCCCAGAGCTTAGCTCAATGGAGAGCCCAGACGCAAAAGCTGCTAGGCAGCATGACAGACTTGTCGCTTCGGAGGAGGGTTGCCCCTCACTCACAGGCCACCATGAGGCCGCTCAGTGTGCTACATGATGCCTACTCCCGCAGGACACCCTGCATTGCCGGGGGGGAACGCCATCGCTGCCCATCGCCTACCCGTAGCTGGCCTGGACCTTCCTGTTCTGGGGAAGCAATCAAACAGGAGCGTCTCCCTCCCCAGGACAAGAATAACGTATCTAAAAGTCTGGGGGCTGCACCAGACGTGCCCCCATCTGCTCTGCTTTCAGCTGTACCAGACACCCCCCCATCTGTTCCACCTTCTATGCCACCAGACACACCTCCATCTGTTCTGCCTTCAACTGCACTGGACACAGCCCCATCTGCTTTGCCTTCTATGACACCAGACACACACCTGTCTTCCCCAGACACACCCACAGACATCACTGTATACTCATCAGACATGATCAGGCACAAGACAGACTGGGTGAGACCTCGGCCGCTGTCTGACTATGGTCAGTTGATAACCGGGAAATTCTCCATTCCTGAGGAGGAAGCAGGGTCACAGAGTGATGAGATCATAAGCAGGCCTGGACTGAAGGATCATAGCACCAGCCACAGGAAGAACAAAAATGCGGGATATCGCCACCAAGACACGGTAGTGGAGTCCTACAGAACACATCCCGTCTCTGTGGTTGAAGAGGTCGACCTTTACTCTCCATCAAGTGCAGAGCTTTTAGTAAGGTTCCTTACCTCTGCCAACTGGGGGTGCCCAAAGTTTGTTATGCATGATGTGTGATGAAGTTTGTTGTATATGATGACTTCTATGGAAGATTTTATTGGACTTTATTATTTGTAACCCACAGAATACAATACACAAATATCTACCACAAATATGTACTGGAAGAAAGCTAAAATAAGAGGCGCTAGTTAAGCTCCATGAAACTGAGCACAAATGAAAAATCCAGTGTTTGTTTAGTGCTACGTTTGTGCTGTCTTGTGCCAAATAAATTATAATTGGTTGCTATTATTTTTCCCCGACAATGTTGTCACGCAGTCCCCCTACAACAGCGCAAAGATGTGACACCTGACTGCTTCTTTAGTGCTACATTTGTGCCGCAGAAATCTCCGTTCTATCTCTCTTAGTTTTTGAGACAGTTACAATAACACATTATTATACTTTGCCTAAAAATAGAAAATTTGCTATATGCCGACACAAAGGCATCAAACATTCCTACATGAGAAACGTGACCCTAAGCACTATATGCCGATCATGTTATGCCATAAACCAAGAGGTAAAATTCAGAAGAAATAAACATTTTTAAACGGCACAAACATGGCACAAAAGATTGAGACTGGGTTGGTCCAAATCAGAGGCACGGTGGTGATGTCCCCATGTAAGCAAAATATATCTCAAAAACTAAAGCAGCACAAACCGAAAATTTCAACAACCTAGACGCCATAAATAATTCAGACTGGTTATTTTAAAATCTGAAACATAGCATATACAGGCGTTGGACAGTGAAACTTAAACACTGGCCAAAGTGGTGTTTCAGGTTTCACATCAACATCTGCGCAACCTAGTGGCCAATTTTCACTGATCGCACATTCCATTCCGATAACAGCAGAGTGTGAAGGTTAAATTAGCAAAGCAATAGCACAGCTGTACATAAAATACTGCAATCCACATGACATAATGGGAGGCATATCAGAGTTTAAAAGAGCACAAATTGTTGGTGCGTGTCTCCCTGGCGCATATATGACTAGGACAGCAACCGGGCCGGCTTCACAGAGCTTAACTAGCGACTCTTATTTTAGCCTTATTCCAGTATGTTAGCTGATAACTGTACCTCATATTTGTTGATTTTTTCCCCCCCTGATCAGCTGCAGTACGAATTGGACAAAAATCCACAAATAAATAGGAGTGAAGTCACAAATGTCACATGATCGACAAATACAAGGGATGTGATCCACAAATGTGCAAAATACATTTCACGTGTACAGGTAGCTCCATATTTCTGTGGATATGATTTTACACAACACAAATTTAAAAAATACATATTTGATACTTGTTGTTCACGGTACATATTTGTCATCTGTGGGTTACAAATAATAAAGTCCAGTATATACTTCCGTAGATTTCTTGCTAGAATTCACCACAGAGAACAATTGCTTGACACATCACTATTTTCACTAAATTGCTTTAGCAAAGTGTCGACTACCTGAAGTACAACGGTACCTTGGAACACAAACTTAATTCATTCTATAAGGCTGGTCGAGTTACGATTTCGTCGAGGTCCAAGTTGAATTTTCCCATAAAAAATAATGTAAATGAATTTAATTACAGAAAATGCAAATGACTGCTTATTTAAACTTATCTACCTACCTAACTAAAAATAAAAAGCATTGACAATCAATATAAAAATAATACACACATGAAAAAGCGCACACAGAAGCATTAAACATAACATAAATGACAATCCCATACTCCGAATCGAGAGCAGAGACGTGCACCACATTCAAGTCTCGCTATAATTTCCTTACAAGTTCTACAGTTACTCTCAGCACTTTTCTCTTTGGGTTGCTGCTATGACTGCTCATATTCTTAGGGGCCATGACATCTGGATCAGTAAATGTACTGTAAATAAAGCACAAAATAAATACACCAATTACAGGAAGGGATTTTTTGCATGTCGAACTCGGTCGAGAGGTACTGCGAGACTGAGAGTGATTCATAGGCATCAGCATCCCAGTATGTCTGTTTGCCTTTGTGTCAGCTCATCAGAGAGGTGTTTTAATCTGTATGAATTTTGCAAGTCGTCTTTTTTGTTGTGTTCCAACTTTTCGGTCAAGTTCTGCTAGATTTTTTTCAACCAACCCATTCGAGGTCCATATTGATAGAGGTGAACTCATCTCAACCCATACACATTTTAGCAGGTATGGTCGAGTTCCAAGATTTTGGTCAAGGTACAAGTCGAAAAAAATTCAACAGACCCGTTCGATGAACAAGTTAAGGGGCGCTCCAGTTCCAAGGTTCCACTGTAACACATTTCTCTCTTCAGCTACAGCCAGAGCCCACCCCTCCCAGGCCTTCGCACCCGCAGACTCCCTACAGAAAGGCCTTGTCCCATCCGCAGTCTGCAGCCCTGTCCCAGAGCACCCCCACTGGCCTGGACCGCTTGGGTCGTGGGCCGGTCCTCCACAGAGTCCACAGTGGTGAGTGTGTATGTGTGTGTATCAGGGTTTTTGTAGTTAATGAAAACTAAGACTAAAACTAAATTTGTTAACTGAAATTAAATAAATACAACAGCTTTCAAAAAAATGAAAACTAAATAAAAACTGCAATGAACAATTCAAGACAAACTAAAACAAAATAGAAATGCAGTTCAAATCAGCTTTGTTTTCATTTTTACCCCCTCGATTTGCACTGTGGATGTGGGTTGCAATTTACATCATTATCCACCATGTTGGTGCATTGCTCGCCTGGTTGAGGTACTCGAATGTACTGTTTTTTCCACGTTCGTCAAGGTTGTGGTGCTGTTTTTGACTGGACTAACAACAGTGTTTGTGACAAAGGTAAAATATTTTGTAGGATTCCAAAAAACTGTTAATAACCATGATCCAGAGTGAAGAGATTAAGTTTTATCTAGTGAGCACTGCTGCACATTTTCTTTATTCTCTTTGTCTGAGAGACACATACGTATGTGCTGTGCAGTGGTTATATAAATGAAAACCTCCTGTTACCAAGGTTTGTTTAATGGTTTGGATTTGTGTTTATTCATTATATTTATTCATGTCCTGGTATAGCTGGTGCACCGGCCCAAGGCTCAGTGACTCTGAAAGAGGCTCTGACTGAGGAACATTGCAGCTTCCAGGAGCTGCCTGACAGCCAGCTGCACCTGAAGTCCACAGTGGATCTCACTCAGCTCAGCAAGGTGAGAAGCAGCTCTGATCCTGACACGTTGATCTCTGTGCATGTGTGACTGGTCACATGTTTTGCATAAAGATGTCAACTGATATTAACCAGCTAATTGACCATGGTAACAGATAAAGCCTGACCCTTACTGTTTTGACATTCCCAGTTTGCACGGTTGTGTCTTCTTCAGCATGGTGGGACCCCACTCTTTGTGTCTTGTGCTCTATTACTGAATGCATGTGGCACTTTCCCCCTTTTGCAGTGTATTTGTTCGGGGCTTGTTGTGCATGCAGAGGCTCTCTGGGACCACGTCACGTTGGAGGAGCAATGCCTGGCTTTCAAAGCTGGAGATGTCGTTCGTGTCATTGATGTCTCTGACACAGACTGGTGGTGGGGCATGATGGCTGACCAGAGTGGCTGGTTCCCTTCAAGCTTCGTCAGAGTAAGTGCATCCCTACCACCCCCCCCCCCGCAAAACTGATCATACATGTAAGGAGGTTTCAGAGAAAGATTAAAACCAAATAGAAGAAAAACTAAATTCAAACAGCAGGAAATGACTAAACATGATGATTGTGTGATCATTATTAATTATTATAAAAAGATATTAACTGAGCATACTATAATTATAATCATTACTATTATTATAATCATTAATTATTAATCACTGTCTGCAAATGAATAAAAAATCATAAAAACCGTTCTAAAGGACATTAGTTAAGTGAACACAAAGGGGGTATTTTCCGTACGTCGCTTAAAACACCCTAGATCAGATGCCTCATCCTGGATGAGTTAATGCCAGTGAAACTCGTCCGGGATAAATCAGTTTTTCAAACGCAACTGTGTAGTAGATTAGTCTAGCTGGATCCAATCATCCGAGATGATTGTGCGCGCCCACGCTGCTTGAAAAGCCCACATATATCAAGTCTAGAAAACTTGATCAGCAAGTCTTTGATAGGCTGCAACAAAATGACGAAAATGACACAAGTGGAGCAGGACCTCGTATTAGAAGGATATGAAGAATTTCAAGAACTAATATGCACAAGGGGTAACACGGCAAAAGCAGCCCAAAGCAGAAAAGACGGCTGGCAAAAAGTGGCCAACAAATTAAATGTGGAAGTAGTGTTCATTGTACTCACTGAATGCAGCATTTCATTTCTTATGTGTCAGATTATTATTTAGTACAGTACAATCCAGTTATAACGAACTTCAAGGGACCTGGAAAAACAGTCCGTTATATCCAAAGTGTGTTATATCCAGAGTTGCTGTATACGCAGAATAAAAACGCCGAACAAAACTACAGTTAAAAGCGGCCCTGGGGATCAAATTGTTTGTCCATTATAAGCAAAATTCCCTTATATGCGAGTCCACTATAACAGGATTTTACTGTTTGTCATAATTCCAGATCAAACATAAGCACAATGAGAACATGGGAACAAGTTAAAGTGAAGTACAAGAATATACTTCAAACCGGGGCCGGTTCTAGACATGCATATATGAGGGGGCAGACAGAAATGTGAAGGGGGCACATGGTGGCGACGGAGGCAGGAAAAGGGTGGGGTGGTGGTGCTTTGGATAACTGTTTTTGTCATGTAATTGGATTGCACTTTGTCAGGCCTCTACCCTAAGACCTGTCCAACTTGGGGGTCCCACCTGAAAGCTAAGCTTCTGCTGGTGTAGCTCTTAGGGTCACTGGGGCACGCAAACCCCCTAACCACAATAAGGTGGCAATCCCTCAGGGGGAAAACTGAAAAATAAAACAACAAAAAATAAAATAAAATATTCCTCATTAGATTAAAACAACTAAAAACATGACATTTATCTTAAATGGATGGCCTATATCAAACATATTTGAACCCAACAAAACACTTTTCACTATTGCCGATTGTCACGTCCAGCTCCGTCCGATCCTCGTGTGTGCCACACCCACCTCATTACCTCCTGTTTTTGCCTGATTGTTCTCACCTGTTGCTCGTTACCCTCAACTTGGAGAAGGGTCCAGCTGCAGACGCCTGTAGAGTGGAGCTCCACCAGAAATACGTGTTTTAAGGGGCGTAAAGTGGATCTCATGATCTTTATGGACGTAAAGTGGAGCTCCACAGGAAACACGTGATCTCTACCGGAAACTACCACTCTGTTAGCGAAA